AGCTTAATTTTGAGAAATCCTTACTATAAAAAGTGTACTGGGGTTACAGGGAAGCATTAGCAAAAGTAAAGAGAACTCTCAAGGATACACAAGGATCTGTAGGGTAGGAACAGAGCACCCAAGGAAGCGGGCATTCCCTTCAGGGCAGACCCCACCTGGATGGAGAAGGCATGGCTGGAGCTAACCTCGAGCCAGTGCTACCAACAGGGCCAAGAGCTGCTGGCCACTGTGATCTGCAGGGGTCTGACCAAGAAGTACATCAGAACCCACAGCCAAGCATTTTCCTCTTGTACAGTCTGTCCAGTGTCCCCATTGGATTAAACATAACAGTAGGAGCACCAGCAAAGAAAACATGAGGGCACAGTTCAGTTTTCATAGAGCAGGCAAAAAGGATGAGTGTGCAGATGGGCCATCCATTGGTAAGCATCACAGGAAACTTGACCCCCAAGTAGGCAATCCAACTACTTGAAAAACTACATGGACAGCCCATGTAGAGAAGCCATGGGAAGAGACACAAGACAACACAGAGACAGACAGAAGTCCATTGAGACAGATCCCCCAGCCTTACAAACCATCAGCCGCAAGGCCAGCAGAAGAACCACCCCCGAGTCCAGTCAAGACTGAAGAATCATAAGCAAATACATGGTTGCTTTTTAAGGTCTAAGGCTTAGGGCATTTTGTTACACAACTAAAAAGAAAAAGAACAAACTATTTCTGCTTAGTTTTGGTTGGAGGTATCTACCGCCATCTACTAAAACATTCTTAAGCCTGAAGAGCCATGGACCACACAGTCATTGATCTGCTCGTGATTCTGAGACCTGGGCTGGGCTGGCGAGAAACGGCATCCATGGGCCTGTGGGACCCACATCCACGACCGCACATTTCCAAGGCTGGTTTGGGCGAGGAGCTCGGGCAGTGGCGGTGCTTTTCACCACAACGTGCTGTGCTCCAGAAGGAACAGCCCAAGAATGTTCTGGTAGGACGAGGCTCATCTTGTGAATGCATACCTCACATCTCACGGCCAAGCCCCGATCCAATGAGGGATCCCAGGGTGTGAAGACCAGGAGGGCTGGGTCACTGGGGCCACCAAAGTCATGCCACTCCAGGTGTATTCAATCTTTAAAATGCATTTGCTGTATACTGTAAATTTTATTAATGCATATCAAATGCCAATAAAGGGCCCTGAAAGATTAATGATTAATATTCCTTCATTAGAAAATTTGACAGGTTATTAAGTCTATGTAAGTGATTTTTCATAGGGGTAAGATGCAGTGCAGATTATCAATAGAGGAAATGAGTGTTTTTCAGGTTTTATAAGAATATTAGAGAAAGCTATTTTCTACAATTCTCTTTTTAAGGCACCATGAGATCAAGGAATTAAAGCAACTCTTAAGCGCCCATCCTTCTCCACTCAGGATTTCCTGCAGCTATGTAAGTCATATCACTAATTCCTAAATTGGGTGAGCCAGTCGATTCAAATCCGATGAACACTCACATGACTTAATGACTGACAGTCATTCATACCTGCTTTGTGTCTTGCTGGGCCCTGTGCTGGGCACCAGGGATCCAAAGCCCAACAGGCTTCCTCTCTAGAAAGGGAGCCGGGTGCCGTGTGCAGCAGGAGCAAAACCAGCGGCTTTGAACAGAGCCTTGAAGAAAGGAATGGCAGTGCCAATCGACGTGAGAGAGGGAAATGGCAATCCAGGCACAGCAGCAACCACACCCAAGGCCCAGGGCCACGGCAGCCTGGCTCACTCTAGCAACTGTGGACAGCGCGGCTTCAAAGAAGCAAAGAAAAGAGAATGAATGCCCCACGCCAGCCAGGTGGGCTGGGGCCAGCACCTGAAGATATTTTAGATTTCACTGGAGCGTGGCCTCCATCTTTCTAAAATGAAGGGGCTGGGCTAGGTGAGTTCTTGCCCCCCTCCCAGCTTTTATGACCCATGAAAGCCAATGAACGGTACCTGTGTTCTACGAGCTTTCGTACAACCCAGAGTTTGAATGGTTATGATTATCAAGAAACTTGGACTCAGGGGTTTGGGACTAGAATGAGCCGTAGCCATGGACAAGTAAGTGGGTTTGGTTTAGGATAGGCAGGGTGACTTGGGTTTGGTTTAGGATAGGCAGGGTGACTGATTGCTGGTTGAGAAAAATGCAGTTACCTAGAGTAACTTCCTCTCTCAGAAAATCCAGAGTTCAATAGCGCTTGGGTGAGTGGAGGGCGGACAGCTAAGCTCTCAGACTTTAATAAAAAGCTGCTGCTTTGATCAACAAGTAAATTGGTTCAATAAACCTGCTCACAATGCCTCCCCTGCAGACAGCAGCTTCTGTTCTCCCAGTGACTCAGCTAGCAAAACTGTAACAGACCAACAGCACAGTGAGCCCCTCCTCGTTTGGAGAGACGGTACAGTTTAGTCATCAGGTACAAGCACTGACTTTGGACACACTGGGTTCGGAGCTCGGCTCCATTGTTCTATCACTTAACTGCTACATGCCCCGCCCCGCCCCTTTTCTCACTGCCAAAGAAGAACAGCAAAAGTAGCAGCAGCAGAGCGTGCCTGAGTTAGTTAATTGTGCCAGCCTGGCCGATAATCACATGTGGTGCTGGTTGAAAGGCGGAGGGATAAATGGGTGGTGAAGCCTCGCCTTTCTAGTTCTCGGGTCTCTTGTTTTGTGATGGTTGTATCGGGTGCAGCTGCCTTAGCAGTTCCCTGCTTCAGCTTGCAAGATTGACTTCCTACAAGACATCCCCAAGGAGAAGCCGCATGGATCTATCCCGATGCAGCCCTGGGTGCTGGAGCAGCCGTGTAGAGACCCCTGCCAGTGCTGAGATGCTTGTTCGTTCACGGACTCAGCTTTCCTCCTGCAGTCGGCATCATTGCCTCTGTTTTGTGAGGTGGAGGACCTTGTGGACTGGTGTTGGGTTAATGGGTTAATGTTGGACTTGTGGGCTTGGGCAGCATTGGGTTGGGATGTTTTCGTGATGCACCTTTTCTTTACATAAAACTCTCTCTTATACGTGAGTTGCTGTGGATTTGTTTCTCCAAAGTACCCAGACTAATACAGTGCCCTTTACTATGGATCAAGCATGTGCTGGCACTGGGGTCCGTGTCAGCTAACAGGAGACATGCATGCGGTGCAGGGAGGAAAAGGCCGCAGTGTGGAAGGAGCTGTGTGTAGGAGGCTCTGGCCTAGCAGGAAGGGTCAGCGAAAACTTTCAGAAGATAGGACCCCCGGGGCTGTCTAAAGTGTGATTAGGTGTACATGATGGGAAAGGAAAGGGTGTTGGGTAGAGGACCAGCCTGTTGAAAGGCCCCGTGGTGGCAGAGAGGTGAGTGTGTAGGAATGGGAGAGAGAGAGGGAGAGAGATCAAACGATGATAGCTTTGTTTGCATCTTCATTTCAGTACCCAGCCACACTGCTGATTCATCTTCACAGACATATGGCTTTCGAATCATTTTAAAATTATTCCATCTCAAAAACCGACCCACCTCTGGGCAAGATCACCTTTTAGGTCTAAGAGTCCTCTCTTAATACTAAGAGCAACAAGAAGCCAATGAGGATTTTTAAAGCAGATCTTACATTTTGAAAATGTTACTTGAGCTACCATTCGGGGATGAGACTGTAAAGAAGCCAGAAGGAATGAGAAGAGACAAAGCAGAGGCGATTGTCTAATGGGAATACGACTGTCCTGTGGGTTAGAGTGGTGCGAGAGGGAGACAGAAGGGGGTTAGTTCAAGAAGCACTGAGAAAGTGAAATCCTGGATGCGCGAGACGGTGACGAAGAGTAAGACGTCGAGCATGACAGCCCGTCTTGGGGCTGAGGCAATTAGCGAGAGAGGAAGGCTGAAAGAGGCCAAGCTTTCAGGTCACCGTGACACTGTGGGGGAGGCGGCGGCAGCGTGACGAAGATCACATGTTGGGCTTTGTTGGTTGTTCCGCTTTTCACATGCTGACTTTGAAGGGTCTCAAAAATACCGACTTCAAGGAGGCATTGGCTGAATGCATGTGGAACTCTCAGGAGCTGTAAGTTCACTGGGAGACAAACTTAATCTTTCCCAATCCCGCCATGGAATGGCCCGGTGGAAGACAAGCCAGAAAAGTAAGCAGGGGAGAAAGAGCAGGAGAACCGGAGCATTCTGTCTTCAACCAGGGCCCAGAGAAGTGACGAAGGGAAGAGGTCAGTGGTATCCAACGCTGCTTAAAAGCCCAGGAAGATGGATGTTAAAAAAAAGTGCCCTCTGGGCCAGCACCACGAGGTCTCCAATGACCTCAGGGAAAGCTATTTCAGAAGAATGAGGGCACCGGCTGAATATGCTGAGGAAGACGGGAAGGCAAACTGCCAGTAGAGACAATTCCATCAAAGAGGAAAGGAGAGAGACAACGGGCCTTGCAGAAGAATGGGAGATCAGTGTTTCTTTTGAGGTTAGCAAGATGAGCCCGGTTTCTACCTGCACCTCAGAAAGGCGCAGTTGAGAGGGAGGGGTTGCCTAGAGAGAGAACAAAGGGTGGCAATGAACTGAATCAAAGGCAATGAGCTTGAGTGAGTTGACCTCTGAATGGGAAATGTAGGCAATTGTAATATTCTCCAGCATGGTTTCCTCCTTCCCTGCCCCTCCAGCGGCCTCGCTTCTCTGAGTGGTCTATCAGGGGAAGAAGAGAAGGGGTGACACCCAGTTAGCTTATACGAAGCAGGTCTCATGAATGACAGCAACCAGAAAGAGATTAAATGTTTTCTAAAGACTCTGGGTCCGTGCTTAAGGTCAAACTGTGAATTCGGAGAAGGACAGTGTTTTCATCTGTAGACAACAGCTTCTGACAAGTACCTAGAATTATTACATGAGGATCCTAATTCTACAGAAATATACAGAAACAAGTAGTAAATGGGAAATCTTTACCTTGATTGTGTGGATTATTGTTTTAAATCAGCACAAATATTCTTTTGTTTGCAAACCGACTATACAGAATGATAAGCTTCTTTCTTGATTATGAAAACTCACTTATGTGCTGCTTCCCAGGCTTCTTCTTCTTCTAGGAGATCTCTTATGATGTCTGAACTAGAACTAAAAGGATATGTGTATCAATATTGCCAGACAACACACGGGCCGACGGTTCCATTCACACACAATTCTAGACAACGCACACTTGGCCAGAGGGACCACGGCAGAGCCGTGGCTGAGGACGGACCGCAGGGGGACTCCAGGGTCTGGCCGGTATTTTGACTGCGGACCAGGTTTCACAGCTAAGTACATTCCATCGGAAATTCATCAACCCGCTCACTCTCAATATAGGTAGTTTATTCTATTAATTATATTTTAATAAAGGCTTTACATTTTAACAATGTGCAACACGACTTTTTACAATATAATCCTCTCCGCCCAAAGCCTGGATTCAAACAGATTACAGGCGCGGGTTTCTCGTGACCTTGGCCTCATTCCTCTGGCAACCAAAGAGGACACCGACTTTAAAAACCTGCATTTGAACCACGTGATTTACAAGGGACACCAAGTTCCACAGCGCACTTTCACCCTTTCAACCAAATAGAATGACACGTCATTAATCTGAACTGTGCTAATCATGGAATTTGTTCTCATGCGGCCGGCTCCTGCCGTCTTTCCCCAGCCGCGCAGGGGAGCGGCTGAAAGAACAGCCCAGAATGCTCCGTTTCTTTAGGACCAAAGCTGCTCTGGGGCTTTTAGTGGCTTGTTCTGAGGCATTGATTCCTACCCATCAGCACTTTTGTCCAACCGCTGTTTGTTTGTTTTTTAAATCATTTCATTAGGGGCTCATACAACTCTTATCACAATCCATACAGACATCAGTTGTGTAAAGCACATTTGTACATTCATTGGCCTCATCATTCTCAAAACATTTGCTCTCCACTTAAGCCCCTGGCATCAGCTCCTCATGTTTCCCCTCCCTCCCCGTTCCCTCCTCCCTCATGAACCCTTGATACAACTTTTCTGTTGTCTGTCCCCCAGGGAGGAAGTTATGTGTAGATCCTTGTAATCAGTTCCCCTTTTCCACCCCACCAACACCTCCTGGTATCGCCACTCTCACCACTGGTCCTGAAGGGATCATCTGCCCTGGATTCCCTGTGTTTCCAGTTCCTATCTGTACCAGTGTACATCCTCTGGTCTAGTCAGATTTGTAAGGTAGAATTGGGATCATGATAGTGAGTTGGGGTGGGGTGGGGGAAGCATTTAGGAACTAGAGCAAAGTTGTATGTTTCATCGGTGCTACACTGCACCCTGACTGGCTCATCTCCTCCCCGCGACCCTTCCGTAAGGAGATGTCCAAGTGCCTACAGATGGGCTTTGGGTCCCCACTCCGCACTTCCGCTGGTTTTGTTTGAACGATATGGGCCATAGTATCGAGGGGTTTGTTTCGACCTCCACGAAGCAGATGTTCACAGGCGCCGCATGGAACAGCCAAGCACTGGCAGTGCCCCTCTCAGGGCTGAAGGGCGGAAATCCTGCGCCCTCAGGTGAGAAACCACAAGTTTGGGGGTGCTGGTGCCAGACACACTTTGGCTGTTGCTCAAAGAAACACTCTAAAATGAAGATGATGTGTAGGGAGAGCTGTTCCGAGGAAGACAGGGGAGGCTCTCTACTCCCAGATTTACAGACCCAGAAACCCACAGGGGCCATCTACCCCGTCTTAATGGGGCCATTAGGAGTGGGAGTCGACTGGAGGGCAGTGAGCTTGATGCTTTGGGCCCCTTCTCATTGGGAGTCGTATGTTCAGCAGCCTGGGGTTGGGGGGTGGGAGGCTCCAGCAGTGCTTATGTTCACTGCCAACCGCCATACCCTTACTTTAAAAGGAAACTCAAGCGGTTTTAAGTCAGCCCTTTCTGTCCTTCCTCTCAATCCCACAGTCCCCTGGAAGCATCCTCCACTTGTTCTATCCTTCCCCGGGGGATCTTTTAAACCCCCCACCCGCACCCCCGGCCCAGCCCATGAGAAATTCATACCCCAGATATAAAGCACAGCTTCTTCTATCAGGCACCACTCACCCACGGCCATCAAGTCACTTCCAACTTACAGCGACCCTCGCGGTCAGGGCAGAACTGCTCCAGGGGGTTTATGGGAGTAGAAAGCCTGTCTTCATGCACATTATGCATATATCGTTGTGAATAGTATGCACAAAGAGTAAGAGGCTTCCCTCACCCCCAACCCTCCTGCAAGAACCAGTTTCCGGTGGGCAATGTTGGGCCAATAGAGAATACACAAAGGAGGGCAGTGGAAGGTGGTCATACTGCTCTGGGTCCCCAAGGACCCACACTGCTAGAGAAACAGGGACGTCAACTTCTTGCCAACACCCCCTCACCCCTCTCTCTCTCTCTCTCTCTCTCTCACACACACACACACACACACACACACACACACACACACACACACACACACCAACTATTCCAGGAAAGCAAGTCTGTTGACTACGATCCATTTACCTTGGATCTTTCAAATGACCAGCCCAAATCACAGATTTGCTGAAGGAAAATGTTTGCAGTGCATTAACGACATAGACCTCAGAGGTCTATGCTCCCTCCGTGCAAACAGATGGTGCAGGAGGCTTACAAAAAGCCCATGGAGAACTTTGCCTGCCTTCCCCTCTTTCCCTAATCCTACTGGCCAGGAAGACGGTGTAGCCCTCCGGCTCCCTTGGTTCCCATCACCTTTCCCGCGATTCCCGCTCAGTCACGAACTTGAAATGTGGGGAGGCTTGAGGTTCACCTGAAATGAAGTTTCAGGATTATCTGGTACATCCGCTTATCTGATTCTGCGTCACCACTGAATACCCGAGAGTCGATTCTAATACACTTAACACACCAACACGACTATTAATTCCTTACTTAAGTAATCTGGTCACAACTCACGAAAGTCTATTGAAAAGTCACATTCCTGAAATTCAATATAGAGGTTCACGAGTAGGATCTTAGAGAGAGATTGTTTGGCCTGGTCGTCTGTGTCACCAAAATGATCACTCTCAGAACTCTTCCTGGGGATAGAAGTGACTAATGTCTGTGAAGTCTAAGGCGTTTTAGTACATGTCTTGGTGAACGGCACTTCCTTTAGCGCAGGCAGCCCGAGGCTGCGCGTTTCGGACTACTCCCACCTGTCCTTTCCCACATGGCTGCAAACCCACTCTGTCAGGGCTCAGGAGGGGAACAGGGAACAGAACCAAGTGTTTACAATTTGGGTGATTCAGCATGGTCATTAGGACAGGAGAAGTATGGGCTGAAGCCCTCAGGTGGGAGACTCAGAAGAGATGCACCAAGTCCTCCTGAAGCCTGACACCTGAGACTGGAGTACCACCGGCACAGGTTCAAAGCGGTGCAGCTGATCGCCATCTTTGCGGAGGTCAAGGCCATCTTTGAGTTTTCTTGACCATGTGTGATCAGGAAGACTGGTTCAAAGCCCTGCTTTGAAAATATTGCACTCAGTCCCAATCGCAGCAAATTCTTCCTCACCATCATCTTAACTTGCTCACTTTAAACACTGCAGAGGAGTTGAGATTTCTTGGACTAGAGTAAAGCTACGTAAAAGCGTCTGCATGTGTCCCCACAGGCGTACATGTTCTTGAAGACAGGAATGGATCTGGTCAGAATCCAAGGACTACCCGCATGCATTGAGGTACCTAAAATTCCTTCCACAGAAGAAATTATCAAGCATTTGTTTTGGGATACATGAAGTCAGATCACGAATAAACTTGGATGGCTGTAGGTTTTAGGTCCAGGAAGAAGACATTTTTGAGTAAAGTTTAGCTTCTCTACTATTTCAGATAGGAACACTCTGGTAGATGCTTTAAGAAACAGGATAAAGACAAGGTCCGGTGCGTGAAAGTTACAACTCCCCCCAGTGAGTGTTCAGACGGCGCTCTGACGCCACGGTCAATGCCCTGAGAGTGGATGCGAGGACTCAGATCAGGTACATGCGAAAAAGACGGACGGGGGATACCACGCTCGGTCTGTGGAAGTCCCACCCTGTTCTGAAAGAATCTGGCAGGCTGCTATCATCTAGACCAGCGGTTCTCAACCTGTGGTCGCGACCCCTTTGGGGGTCGAATGACCCTTTCACAGGGGTCACCTGATCCATAACAGTAGCAGAATGACAGTGATGACGTAACAACGAAAATCATTTTATGGTTGGGGGTCACCACAACATGAGGACCTGTATGAAAGGGTCGCGGCATTAGGAAGGTTGAGAACCACTGATTGAGACCTTTTTGCCACGTCTGACTTTCAGAAGCATAAACTTTTGGGGAGTCTACGCCTTGGATTAACTGGTCTTCCTACAAAATTTTACTTTTGTTATTCTCTGAATAAAAGTGGCACTTCTCACCAGGCAAAGAAAAATGTTATCTTTGCATCATAATCCTTTTGTAACACCCCACTTCATCCTATTAAGACAAAGCTGATAATCGGGGTGCCAAACACCACGAGTGGAAAGTCAGGGTGGGAGAGTTCACCAGAGCAGACAGAGCTGGGCTGCAGTGCTGTTTCTGTCATTTAACCGGGTGACCTTGAGCAAGGGTCCGGATTTTCCCATGCCTCAAGACCCTCCCCTGGGAAGCCCCGGGGGTCGTTTCGGAGACGAAGGAACAGAACACAGTGTCAGCACAGGGCCGGACAGGACACGAAGTCCATGCTCAGTAACTGGTGGCTCCGTTTCATAAACAAACGTGGGTCGGAGTTACCTGAACAACTGACTCAGCACCATGGTCCATTTTACCCTGGGAACCCTGATCACTGTGCGCTCTCTGTGAATCTCGGATTTCCACAGTTTCTATGATACCAGGGTACCCAGTCATCAGAATCTGTCATTTATCCAGCATGGCCAGGACACCCGGTACTGGGGGAAAGGAACAAGGCAAACATTTGCTAGGAAAATCCCGCGGAGTAAGGATTACTTACAAGTAGGATTTTTGTACTCTGTAATAATGACACCACCTGCCCACAAATCTCCTTTTTAATTATAACATTAATTAAAGGTGACTGAATAGATCCAACTTAAACAATTCTGTAGGGACAGATCACTGGAGGACTGATGGAAAGCATATGGGA